CTCACAAGCGAGTGGAGAGTGGGAGTACAAGTCGGAGTACAAGTCCCCAAAAAGGAACAGAGCCTTGCAGAGACCACCCAAGTGCCCCAAATGGGCAGACCATGGGGGCTCAGGGAATGTTTTTTTTTTCAACTCCTGCTTGCACCTTAAGGTGCAACTGAATGCTTCATGGCGATTTTGTGTTTTTGCCTGTGTTTTGCTTTTAAATCAGAATGGTTTTCTCCAGCAATTGTCATTACCTAGAAAATTCCTTAATAGCATTTTGCTGTTCAGTTTCTGACCTAAATAATGTGTTGTGAATCAGCATTTTAGAGAATAACAAAAATCCTTTTCATGTAGAAGCATCTCCATAATCATTACTGATCATTTCCTATGTACTCAAAGGGAGAGAGGTTGAAATGAGCTATTTTGGCTTTTGCCAACAGACACCTGATACTAATAATCTCAAGGACATCACTTTCTTCGCGTCATTTGTTGCTTTTTGCTCAATAGATGGTACCGGATGGAAGAAAATTGAAAACATCACTGACAAACCTATAACAGAATTAACCTAAATTATTGTTAAGTTTTTAAACATGTGTTAATTACTTAATTATCACTCATCCCAATGTAGGTTTGATGAGCCTAAACCCCACCTTCTGCAGTTTGCAATTGCAGAGAAGGGTGCACAAGTGGACTCGAGGACCCAAAGTGGCCAAGTCTGCGATTTCTGGTGCTGTCTAGGCAGCAAAGGGCGCTCTGTTCTAAAAAGATAATAAATCATATCATGTCCTCGCTAACCCACAATGGAGAATCCCACAGGTCAGAATTGAGCATCCTTGTATCTGTCTCCTTACTTTAATATAAAAACCAAGTAATATTTGTAGGCACAGAATTGGATAAGGAATTTCTCAAACTGCCAAAATGAAATTTGAATGAATGATTTTTAGCTGGTGACTTGAAGTACATATGTATCAGTTTGTGTACAATGTATGTGAATATATAGTGGTTTTTTCCTCTTCAACTTTCTTTAAATATATGTGTGTGCATGTGTATACACACACATCCAGCTTCAATATCAAAAAGGTTATTTAGCAGGTCTGTTATGAGACATGAACATGCTCAAAGAAATGATTTTTAAAATACAGGGGGTTGGTTAAGAGGATGTTATGAGAGGTGTAGCTCTTCTGCCTTCCTGGAATTGTGCAGTACAATATAGGAGCAACTTTGTCATCCACTACATGTCTCAAAGCTGGTGTGCTCATGAGGCTGACCCTGTGCCAGACTGGTGGGGTTGCGGGTAGCTGGGGCGCAAGCCTGGTGGTCAGAGGAACCGTTTTGTGGTCAGACTCTTGGGCACCTGGCCTTGTACCTGCACTGAGGCCATACTGGCTTTCTCATTCCACAACCCTATCCAACTGCACTGTTTTCCCACTGAGTTTGGGCCTTTATAAGCCTTTTGAGTAATATATGAGTCTTCCTATTCCCTGCCATGTTGGTGTCTGTGTGATCCCATATGTCATCCCTGTACCCACACGTGACCAAGGTGATTGAGTCCTCAACATCTCTATGGCATGGGCCTTGGAGAGATCACTGGGTTTAAATCCAAATTCGTCCAGCTGTGTGACCTTGGACAAGTTTTCTTTACTTTCTGAGTCTCAGGTGTCCTTATCTGTCGTGTGTTCATGTCAGTCCCTTATGCTGGCAGAGTCATTGTGAAAAGTGAGCCCAGTGTTCAGCCCGTGGCAGGCACTGCTGCTAACTCTTGCCTGAGACCCCCTTCCCCAGGACGCCCCCCAGACCTGGTCTACCTTCCCTGTCCCTCCCCCAGACTGTTGATTTCTCAGAAAGTTCCACACACTCACTGGGCCCCTCACCCATTGGTTTCCATCCCCCAGCTCTACTCAAGCTGCCCTCCAACCTTCAAAGTTCAAAGGAACTTACCGGCTGCTAAATCCAGTGGTGTTCCTAATCCTCACCTCTGTGGCAGCATTTGACATGAGTGAGTTTATCTTCCCTCTTGAAATTCCCTCCTCTCTTAACTCTGTGTTCATCCACCTGTCCTTTTACTTCTCTAGATGCCTGTTCTCTCACCTCTCCCTTGGGGGCTTGCCATCCCTGACCCCTCCTCCCAGAAGAGCCCTGATTTGTGAATACATCTCTTAGCCCTGAGCTGTCCAGTATGATGGCCGCCAGCCGTGTATAGCTAATGGTCACTTGACATGTGACCAGTCCAAACTGAGATGGGCTTAAGTGTGAGATGCACACCAGATTTCAAAGACTTAATACCAAAAAAAAAAAAGAAAAAAAATGTAAAATACCTTATGTACAATTAATATATTGATTACACATGACAGGATAAGATTTTGGATATATTGGATTAAATTAAAATTAACTTCGTCTGCTTTTTCTTGCTTTTTGCTACTAGGAAGCATTCAGTCACATCCGTGGCTGGCCTGCTGGCCTGCTGGTTTTGTTGGACAGAGCCATCTTGGAATGGGGTGATCGCCACCCGCCAGTTCCTGGCACACTTTGAAGATTGCTCATCCTCTTGTTCTCTCATTTCTTCACTCTTGCTCCCATTCCATGTCTTTTGAGTTCCCCATGTCGTATGCTCGGCCCTCTTGTAGACACAGAGGAGACAGGGACAAATGTGCCAGTACACATGCCCGAGGTGGCACTGCTGTCCTTGAAGCAGTTACGTGCTGATGGCTGAGTCGGTCCTGCGCTGACTGCCCTGTCGCCAGTGCGCAGGTCGCCGAAAGCCTCAGGCCACCTGCAGCGTGGAGACCAGACCCTGTGGGACAGGACTGGCAGGACAGGGCCGTGGTGGCCCCTCTGGTAAAGGAGCATGGAGCCTGGGGTGGGAGGTAAACAGCTTCTGTAGTTCTGGAGTTCGAAAGCCTCTTGTGCCTGGGTTTCCTCAGCCAAATGTTGCCCAGTCCTGGTTGGTGTCTCGAACCCATTCCCTGATGAGAAGGGAAGAGGGCGCTCCCGACTGTCGCCCATCCATGTTTACAGAGCTCGAGTGAGAATCAACGGGATCACGTCCCATGGCATTCGGGCCTGGCTGCGTCCAGTTCTGTGAGATCCAGGTCCAGGGGGCATTGGAAGCCTTAGGGGTCCCCTTTCAAAAGCCATCAGGGATAGCACAGTCCGTTGTAGCAGAGCAGGGCCCAGGCCTCCCAGGCCACTCCCCACCCACTCTGCGAAGGCCTGCCTGACTGGGGCCAGTGTCCACTGATGGGTGCACGGCAGGTGTCTCTCTGAGGTTATTTTTCTTGAAATTTTCATGTTATTTCTAAAAATAAGATTAATATGGGTTTCTGGCCTTTAACCAATTTGAGAGGAGGATTCCCTGCATGTCTGTGTTTTAGCATTAAGACAGTCCTGTGTATGGTGGTCTGCATGCTGTGGACTGTGTCCGCGGTGGTCACTGCAAATCGATCCTCTCTTACCCATGCTGGTGTGCACCTCAGCACCCGCTGGTTAGTAAGACACTGGGTAATGCAATGACACCTCATTAACCAATCACCTTCGTACAAAGTCAGCCTCTCTGGAAAACAAACAACACACAGACTCCATCATCATCTCGTGTTTGCAGTTTGTGACAGAAGTCACTCAATGTGATCTTCCTGCATGTCTTTGCCTGGGGGAGCAGGAGGGGAGAGAAGGGGAATCTCCCCCTCCCCCAAGTCTCAGGGCTCTTTCTGCCTTCACCCTCCCCTGTTCCATGGGGGCTCCCTCCTCTCCTGGCAGGGAGTCCAGGCCATGTTGCTCCCGTTCTGCATCATTACTTGCGGTGACCAAGTTTCTGACAAAGAAGTGGGCGTGCTCCTTGTGCTTAAAACATGGGCTTTACCATGGACCTGGGCCAGGAGCAAACAGTCATCTTTCGTTCACTGTTCTTTGCCCTCATTTCCTTTTCAGTGTCACAGTTTGTCCTCTGTCTTTCTGAAAAGTATAGTGGGCTAAATGAGACAGTGTGTGAATTTCCTATTGCTGCTGTAGCAAATGACCATGGACTTAGGGGCTTAAACAACAGAAATTTATCATCCGACAATGCTGGAGGTCGGGAGACAGAACGGAATTTATTAGGCTGAAATCAAGGTGTCATCAAGAGTCATGTTCCTTTTAGGAGCTGCAGGGGAGAATCTGTTTCCTTGCCTTTTCCAGCTTCTCCAGGCTGCCTGCGTTCCCTGGCTCATGCACCATGTCATTCTGACCTCTGCTTCTATCCTCAAATCTCCTCTGACTCTGACTAGCCTGCCTCCCTCTTATGAGGACCATTGTGTTTACATTGGGCCCACCTGGATAATGCTGGCTAATCTCCCTGACTCATGATCCCTAACTTAATTATATCTCCAAAGTCCCTTTTACCATGTATCCTAACATAGTCACGGGTTCCAGGGATTAGGATGTGGACATCTTTAGGGGCCCATTATCGTGACTACTACAAATAGCCTTTTTTAATGTATTTAAGAAGAGATTGGTTGAGTTTGGTTATTTTCTGACATTGAATTTGGCGTAAAAACATAGAAAATCATCCAATGGAGGAACAAAAAGTATTCTCTAAGGAAATAATGGCGTCATGTTCAGGAATGCATCTTTTAGAAAAATACATAATTAAAAAGGAAATTACAATACTTCTTGATCAAATGTGTTTACAGGATTACAGTACAAAATAATGTGGGTGAGTTAGTTATGTTTGGCAAAAAGCTCACAGCACAGCCCTGGCCAATAGATCACTCTGTGATTAGGGAAGTGTTCTGTATCTATGCTGTCCAAGGCAGTAGCCACCAGCCACAAGGGGCTGCTTCTTATGTAAGTTATTTTAAATTCTGGAGCACCAGTGGACATTATTTATGTTTTAAGGGATTAAGGACAGGAGAGGTACCAGGATTGCTTTATATAATGATAATCAGCACTGAAATCAAAGTTGTTTTTAGGAAGCTTAACCAACATTTCCCTTTTCTTTCCTTCTCAAATGGCTGTTTCCTGACCCACTCCTCTTGCTCCAGGATTTGCGCAAGCAGGTAGCACCACTGCTGAAGAGCTTCCAAGGGGAGGTAAGTTTTCTATTTATTTTATATCCTGAGCCACCCTTCGTTGTTACTTGGTCTTTCTTTTTATTCACGTTAAATAAATGCCATTGACAGAAGGCACTTACCCAGATGGAGCCCTCATGGCTGCATCAACCCAGCATCGAGCAGATTTTGCCCTTTGCAATGTGCTTTTTCCACTGAGTCCTCAATTAAAGCCCTTCTGGAAAGGGAAGCCATATTCAGAATGTAAAAAGATGCCGGGAATTGAAGGGAGAAGCATCCCCTGTGGTTATGCTTCTCACAGTGGACTGAGGTTGTTCAGGTCACAGCCCCTAGGAACCCATGAACGTCCTCAAGGGAATCATCTTGTTCCCTGAGCTAATCTGGGGCTGCCGCCGCCATGAGGCCTCCTGTGCAGAAAGGATGGAGTGGGGCAATCTTGTGTTTTTAATGGGGAGCTGCTGGGAGGAGAGGAATTTCACCTGATCTAAGGCTTGAAACATGGAGCATCAGGCAGGAGCCTCAAGGAGTAAGTTTGGGCTTGATGTAAGGAAATGTTTTCTGATAGATCCTTACAGAGAAGAACTGAGCTGCCTGGCAGATGGCATGTGGGCAGCATGTCACCTGGGTCATCACCCTGGCTGCCTGTTAATGGGAATAGCACCAAAATAGTATAAAAGGGACTGAGTAATAATACCAGATTGTTGAGGAAAGGGAGCAAGATTTTTTCAAAGCCCTTGAAAGAACCCATATGAGTACAGTATTAGAAATTTTATTTTCTTGCAACTGCACAATTCACAGAGGACACAAGAACACAGGGAAGGGTCAGGATTAGGGTAAGCGAGACAGTAGGTTCAGCTTGGGACACAAGTGACAGGAGGTGGGGCCTTATTTGGACACGTGTCTAGGAAGGCTGGATCCTGGGCTCAGAGCTCCAGAGTAAGTGGCTGGGACTCTTGTGAGCATGGTCAGAGGGCAGCGTGTCCTGATGCTTACATGGGATAGGATCCATTTGAGTTGGTTGATTTTAGAGTTGCCTGCTGTAATCAGAGGCTTGCTCTTGTATCCTTATCGGTGTCTGCTAAACACATTTTGCAGATGTATTACCGGATGTGTTCTTTGAGCTTGTCCCAAGGTGCTTCAGTTCCTCCTATAAAAGTGTACAGTGTTAGCCAAATAATCTTCTTTGCCCCAGAATTTGTATAGATTATTTCCTTCTTTGAGTCCCCCAAAAGAAAAAACAAAAGATGTTTTCAGACAGCAAGAAATTCACATAGGACTTTTGGGTTCTTGCAAGAACATGTATTTGTAGAGTATTATGATGTTATGAAAAACATTAACCTGGCCAGGGTACATCTTATGCCCTTTAATGTTTTCCCATGGTTCTCAGTACAAAGCCCAGACTCCTTCCTTCCTGTGGTCTGTGAGACCCTGCCTGGTCCCATAACTGCTGACCTTTCTAGACTCCTCTCATCACTCGCCACCTATCACTCGAGACGCCAGCCATTGTGAATTTCTGCCAGGCCCTGAATGTGTTGAGCGTCCTCATCTGCGCAAGCCGACCTGTTTCCCGAAACATTCCTTCCTCTTTCCCCTTCATCTGGCTCACTGCAGCATGGATGTCCCTTCCTCAAGGAAGATGTCCCCTCACCCCCAAAAGATAGGCTAGTTTCCTCTGCCATGCGCCACCATGGCTCCCTGCACTCCTCATGACCGTGTTTGTCACTGTGTGTGGGAGCCGCCTGTACCATCGTCTGGGCTCCCCATTAGTCATGAACGTGTGACGCCAGCCACTGTGTCTTGTCTTGTTCCCCTCTGTCCTCCCAGCACCTGGCACAGCTCCCAGAACTGAAAAGTATTCAGGCTCTCAGATATGGTTATTAAATAAATGATTGAACAGTGAGGTTTCCCTGGAGGTGGTTCTTAAAATATTTTGCTCTTATCCTTTCATTTTTGTATGTTGCTATTAGTAAGGTGATCCCATAAGATATGCTCGGGAATACCTTTAGAAGAAGCTAGTGAATAACTGTATTTGTTGCCTTGGTTTGAAAGTTTGAAATACTGCCATTAACGGTTATTAATGATTATTGTAACAAAGCCATCAAATTTAACCCACAATGAAGTTAGAATTACTTCTTTATTTATTGCTTGTTGCTATACCTAATTTTGCATGTTTCACAAGCTCAGCCAGTTGATGGAGGGGGGAGGGAGGGTTGAAGGATAACCTAAATATTCAATCCAATTTAAAGCTTATTCTAGTCTAACAATAATTGAAAGAGTGCCTTTAGTAAAGTAATACTCACACCCTTTCAGAAAATGTGAAGTCTTTCAGATTGTCTCACCTTCTCCTTGCTTCTCTCCCCAAGAAGAATCTTGGTGGCTGAGGGTGTTAGGAGCTGGTTTAGCCAACCTCTTGGAGGAAAATCCTCTTAAGAAATAACTTAGATGCTTATATTATAGGGGAAATAAAAGACTGAGCATCTATGAGCTAAGCCTCAGCTTTAAAAAAAGAACAGCAGAGTAAGTTCAAATAAGAAGGAAATAGTAAATGTAATTAATAATAATATTAAATATAAGGACAGACCTGAATGAAAAAGAAAACAAAGACCTGGAGAGAAACATCCCAGAAGTTGGTTCTTTGAAAACTACTATGATTGACAAAACGCCTTACTAATCAAAGAAAAAAATAATGTCAGGAATAAAAATGAAAATAACATTGTAGCTGTGGCAGAGATTAAAAAGATAATAAGAATATTATATGTAATTTAATGCCCATAAATTTTAAAATTTAGACAATAGACAAAATGGACAAATTAATAGAATACTGTAGCAAAACTGATTAAAGAAGTAGAAAATTTGAATATCCTTATAACTATTACAGAAATAATCCCATAAGGTCTAGACAGTTTTCTAGGAGAGTTCTATCAATCATTTATAAAACAGATAATTCTAATTTTTTACAAACTCCTTCAGAAATTAGGAGAAGAGTGAATACTTTCTAACTCATTTTATGAGCCTAATATGTAACCTTGATACCAAAACCGGACAAGAATAGTACAAGAAAGGAGAATTACAAGTCAGTCTTATTTATGATACACTGAAGTCCTTAAAAAGATATTAGTCAGCTGAATGCGTTAAGCTCAATATATCCCAAGAATGCTGTTTGGTTTAACATTAGAAAGATTTATTAATCTAAATCTATATCATTAGCAGATTAAAGGAGAAAAATGATCATTTCAATAGTTATAAGAAAAGAATTTGACAAAATTTAAATCCATTCAAGATGAAAGCTACCAACAAGCTAGGAACAGAGGGAAACTTCTTTAACCTGGTCAAAGGTATTTATCAAAAACCTGCATTTAATCATCAGACCCAGTGGTGTTAAAAACATTCCCCTTAAAATCAGGAAAATTATTTTCTCCAAATTGATAATAGAGTCAGTCATTGCAGTTCCAATCAAAATCCCAAGAGGATTTTTTTATGAAACTTGAAAAGCTGGTTCCAAAATTTATATACTATACGTGTAAGAGCAAATGGTCAATAATGGTGAAGATGATACTGAATAAGAACAAGATGGAGGATTTGCCTGACCAGATTATCAGAACTACAGTGATTGGGACAAAGGTAGATAAATACACCAATGGAACATAATAATAATAATAAACAGAAAATGACCGTTGTATATACAAGAGTACTTGAAATAGATTGTGGAAAAACTGAATTAAAAGATAGTACAAATCCTTCCATGATACACCAATGGAACATAATAATAATAATAAACAGAAAATGACCGTTGTATATACAAGAGTATTTGAAATAGATTGTGGAAAAACTGAATTAAAAGATAGTACAAATCCTTCCATTAACTTTTTGAAGACCCTTTGTATGTAGAAGCCAAATATATTGCAAAGATGGCATTACAGATCAGTAAGAAAAGGGGGGACTTTTCATTACATGGTCCTTTGACAATTGGTTAATCCATATATAATTAAATGAAATTGGATCCCTACCCCACACCACATGGAAACACAAATTACAGGTAAAGACTTTTTAAACCTTTTAGAAGAAAGTACAGAATATGATGACTTCGGGTTGAGTAGAATTTCTTAAACAGAAAACCATAAAGGGAGAGATTGTTGCAATCAACCATGTTAAATATTTAAGAGCTTTTTTTTTTTTTTTATTTAATTGTAAATGGAAAGATGCCCTAAAGACAGTGAAAAGACAAGCCCAGGGCACTGCTAGCTCCATTGTACCTTTGTGTGAACTAGGAGAAGGTGCCACCTTTCTCAAGACATTTCACATTATCTGTTGGAAATTTGTCATAATAAAGATTCAGACTTACCTAAATATTTATCATGATGAAGATTCAAATGCCTGCGATGTGAGTGGTGCCTCTAGGTTGTGCAGGGCAGTCTTGTGGTGTAGGTTTGGTCACAAGCCAGAAACCAGGTGGGGGTAGTTGTCACACCCATAATTAACAAAAGATTAATGTTTGTAAAATACTAAAAACTCTTACATGTCAATAGGAAAAAGCCAAATATCCTGATATAAAAAAAGGAAATGTCATGAACATCACTCTCAGAAGAGAAAATCAGAATGGTCAATAAATAAATGAAAAGATACTCAAACTTGATAATAATCAGGGAAATGAAAATTATTTATACCTACAGTAGGTTTGGCCAAAATTAAAAAGTCAAGATAGGAGAGTAAATTGGTTTAACCTTTTCGAAAACCAGTTCAGCATCAGGTAATAAAGTAGCACATATGCCTTGACATGGCAGTTCCACTCTTAAGTACATACCCTTTTGGAGTATGTACATAAACTTTTTTTTTTTTTTTGACCAATAAGGGGATAGCAACCCTCGGCTTGGTGTCATCCGCACCATGCTCAAGTCAGTGAGAGCACTGGCCATTGCCCTAAATAAACTTTAAGTTTTCTGCCCAGAAAACAATTTCAGGAATCTTGAAAATAGTAAACATGTGGAAACATGTTACCAGATATCCATCAACAGTAAAAAGAA